TGAGTTCAATTTGTACGTAGTGAATTTGAAGTGATGGTGGCTCTGCAAGTAGAAGTGGCCTGATGAATAATTGGATATATAGTTCTGGAAAATAGTTCCGGGACTGATACAGATTTAAAGGTGATGTGTACATACACATATACGTAAAGGCACTTTCTGAGAGGGTTTCTAAAGGGAAAATGGGAAGATCTGTAAATAAGCCTTAGCAAACACCAGAAGAAATCATTTTACATTTAGGTTTCATAAGGCCTTATTTAATCATTTGATTTCCGTCTACTTAAAATTTGAGTAATGTTTGGAACAGTTTGATTAAAAATAATCGTAAAAATTAGTATGTTCTGATCTGATGTGATCTGATTCTCAAATCAGAATATTCTGATTCTTTGCGACTTTTTCTAGATTGCTGTGCTAAGGAGACAGCAGCGTATGATAAAAAATCGCGAGTCTGCTTGTCAGTCCCGCAAGAAAAAGAAAGAATACATGCTGGGGCTGGAGGCAAGGTTACGGGCTGCGCTCTCGGAGAATGAGAAGCTCAAGAAGGAGAACGGATCGCTGCAGCGGCAGCTGGATGAAGTCCTCTCGGAGGTGAGCGCCGGGGAGCGGGCTGCCCTCCGGCGGGCAGTTGGCTCTGTAAACTAAAGCGTGTGGAACACTCGTGCTCGGGGCAGGAGGGCGCAGTCAGTCCCCCTACGGGGACGGTCAGGATGAAGCCCCGGGCAGAGGCAGTGGAGTTGGCGCCCCGACGGCTGCGCGTGAGGTTCTCCTGCCCCCCGATTTCGCCCACTCGTTGCTGTAGCAGTCTCCTTCCTGACTAAAGGTCCTAAAGCTCCTAAATAGTCAGGTTTCCCTTTAAATAAAGGAAACGATACAAAAAAATTAATTTTAAACCTTTTTTGGGTCTCCCTGACCACTGATAACGCTTTTTGCGTTTTTTTGCCCTGCTGGTGCCAGTCAGGTCAGTCTCAGTTTTGTTGATGAAATCTGCTGCCCTCAGGCTTTCCCCCTGCAGGGCTGTCCTGCCCGTGCCCACTGAATGGGGCCCCCTCTCCGTTCTTCTGTCTTGCCCCGAGCATATGGGACTATTCCACTGTCTTAAGACATTTACGAGGTGGGGAAAGGAACTACAGAACTATCTCAGAATTATTTGAAAACCCATACGAATGTAAAATTGTTTAATTCTCTCCTTTTATGTGAAGGGGCAGCTGCAGCAGAGTGGCTGCTGTATTTCTTCTCTCCTCTTCTCTCTGCTAGAATAGGGAGTTTGGGAAGCTCTGCTCTAAGCTTGTGACACTGTTCTTTCCTCACCTTTGAGTTCATATAACTGGTAAAGAACAGGGGTTTTATTTTAGATGTTTCTTTTTGTGGGGTTGATGTGTAGTTTCACTGTATTTAATATGGTCATTTCCTTTAGAACCAGAGGCTTAAAGTTCCTAGTCCGAAGCGAAGAGCTGTCTGTGTGATGATAGTACTGGCATTTATAATACTGAGCTACGGACCCGTGAGGTAAGTGTGTAGATACTTGTTTTGGATACTAATGCTAAAAATGTATATATTCTCATGATTTGTTATTTTTATTTCTGGTCTAAACTAGAGAAAAACAGATTGGTTTGGTTCTTCTTAGAGACAGTATCTAAGTAAGAAGAAGGGAAAGGGAGGAGTGGTTTCTCTTCTGGCAGAAAATTCATGCTTCTAATGAAGAGAGCCTTAATTTGTCAAACAGGTCACTTGGGGGGCAGAATAGTGACCTCAGGAAGATCATGGGCCTTGAAGTCAGACTGCCGGTTCAAATCCTGGCTCCTCCATTTAGTAACTTTGTTGTCTTGGGCAGGTAACTTAATCTCTCTGTGCTTCACTTCCTTTCCTTTAAAAGGGGCATTAAAACAACATAGCAGTGCCGCCTGCCTCAGTACTGTGATACCCTAGTACGTTCTTACAAAGCTCTCGGGTGGCTTCCTCCCTAGCTAGGAAATGAATGGCTACAGCA